TCACCCTATTTTACACATATATCGGGAAGCAAATCAAATTGCTAATTCACTCACTTGAAATGGACACAATCGACGCTGACCAGGAGTATAGCCCTTTCGACTTAGCCCAACGACTTAATGTCCTTGTGCACATTGATAGATATGGCCTTCCCATTTTCAATGGTCTTTAGGCTCTATTTTCTTTCGTTTGCTATATTATATAGGAGGAAGTATCTCCCCATTAATTTTTTTGCTTTTGTACTTGTGATTATGGGTCAAGTTTATGTCCTTCTCCCTTGTATTCCTTCATGTTCCATTCATATCATGATAGAGAAATTATAACTCCCTCCATCATGTCTTAGTGGAACAAAAAATACATTGAAATTGTGATCATGCTTCATTAAAAATAGTCCATTATTATCATACGAAACTTGGGGTGAATAAATGTTGAGAGAAACCCTCTATTTATAGGGACACAAAAGGAAATTTTAGTTTCTATTTAGTATAAATTTATAAATACGTTCTTTACAAATAGAATGCAAAAAACCTGCTTTATGTCTACATATGATTGCAAATATATTCTAATTGAATAACGCCATGTCAAGTCATATGAACCTCCAACTTCACTTTGAATAGTCCAAAGCCTCAAAATATGATTACTTCAATGTCTCTTCCGAATTGAATAATGTGCCTATGCTACAGTTTCACTTCTTCAATCATCTTGTTCATTTCACTTAAGAAAAGTTTGGTGAACCTTTTCTTCTACGACCATAATTCTTAAGATTGAGAATCAACATACGCCACCATAATATATATATGTATGTGGTATCAATAAATTCTAAAAATTTCAAAACGGTCAACGCTGAAAAACCTTGCTAAAAATTATGGTGCAACCTCTTATGCACTTGGCTTTTCTAGTATTTCATAAGTCGTTGACATAAATTTTTCACCACATGCCCTGCATCAATGTAAAGAAAATACCATGTGAAAATTTGGGGATCTCCTAGCAGCAAGAGGATGACTGCTTAAGAGCCAACTATGGATTTTTTGTGCCTTCATGATCCAACTTATGGCCACCAAATCATTCAACTGCAAACTTGAGATCCTTCTTGTGCATTCACATTTCTAAGTTTATGGCCCAACTCTTAAACCATTTATAGGGAACTAGGTTTCCATCCTGAATGATAAACCAATAAAGTGGAGTATCAAAATCCCTTATATGTCCATCATTTATCCCTTGTCTGACCGTTTTCAGACTTTGTTTCCTATAGCACAATCTTTCCTTCTCGAATTTTTTAATACGAAAGTGATCATTTCCTTTAGCTGCATCCAATTAATTTGTCAAAATAGTATGTGCACGTGCCTTATTTATCAAGGGAAAAATTTATCCATACAAGTTTTAGGTACTTTCCGCATCAACATTCTTCTCACACTTTCTTCCTATGTTT